AAAAAAAAAAAAAAAAAAGAGCATTTGCTCTCCATAGCAAGACAGCAGAACAACTTTAGTCCTAATAAATTGTTAACATTTTATTTCACACGTGGATGCTGGAGATACATACACAGATGACTTTTCTGAACTTTCTATGTTGAATGTGCACTGTTGTTAAACTACTTGCTTTCTCCCTGCCTGCTCTTTGAAGAAGCCAATTAGGAGTAATGGGAAACAAGGGGTAGGCAAAACATTGCAGTGCAGTGTTATTTCCATCTGTCCGGGAATATTTCAGCCAAAAGTTTATTTTGGGAAAAAAAAAGCCATAACACAGTCTCTCACACACACAAAACCACAAATACTTTGGCTGCAAATGATTCTGCAGTGTTGTTGCTGTGTCGTTGCCCGTGTCTGCTCTCGTGTGTAAAGCTGCCGCCCCCCCATGCATGTGTTTGCAGATTCTCACCCCCGTGCTTGTTCATGAGCGAGCTCCTCCTGCTCCTGGTTCAGGTTAAGCTTAATCAATAGAGCAAGAATTTATGGGTATGGCTGTTCGCTAGGAAGCCCTGCCTCGCTCCCAAGTCTTCCTTTCAACCGCATCTTCTGCTGAAACTTCTCAGTGGGATGAAATGTTCAGCGACCGGTCAGCCAGCCTCTTCTAAGTTCCCTGGCTTGACGTATGCTCCTGATGGTCCTTGGAAAAATAATTTAATATTGTTTCTCCCGGTTCCTCTGTATTGGAAAAGGAAGCTGTTGGCATGAATCACCCTGAACTGTGAGATGATTTGTCTTAGTTCGCTTGACAAATGACCAGGTGGACATCAGAGTCTCTACCCCCACTATCCCTGTGTTGTTGGTGGGGAAAAAAGCAGACAGGAGAAACATTTAATGGAACAAAATATCAACAATAAAAGAAACTCTCCAGTGAAACCGTAATAGAATTTAATTTAATATCAGCATTGCTCTAAGGTAGCTGAAATGCGGGTGCGATTTTTCCAGTTTGCCTTTTAACTGACAGCATACCCATAATTCTTGGTGACTGTTATTTTTTTTTTTCCCTCCAAAGTTAATTTCTGGGCCATTGGTGACTGCACTATCCCTTGTTCTAAATTATTGTCTTAACTACATTCTTTAAAAATATAATGTTGAAGGCGCATAATATTGAAGATGACTCCAGGATGAACCCCGAGTTTGCAGACCGCATAAAGCAGCTTGATAAGGAGGCGTCTTACTACCGCGACGAGTGTGGCAAGGCCCAGGCGGAGGTCGACCGGCTGCTGGAAATCCTCAAGGAGGTGGAGACCGAAAAGAACGACAAGGACAAGAAGATCGCAGAGCTCGAGAGGTAAATTGTGCAGCCGTGCGGGGAGTGGCCACGGCGAGGGCAGCCGCCTGCCTCTTTCCCGTCTCAGGGCCCAGTGGGCTGGGGACACGCGTCCCTATTTCAAGTTGCAAGCAAGTTACGCACGAGGAACATGGCCTGTTGGCGATGATGCTGTGCTCCTGTGGATACTCAAGAGGCAACTGGCTTCTCTTTTGATGGCTTATGTACTTTTTTTTTTTTTAATAAGTCTTTATTGATTTTAGAGAGAGGAAGGGAGAGGGAGAGGGAGAGAGAGAGAAACATCAATGATGAGAGTCATTGATCCGCCGCCTCCTGCACGCCCCCGACTAGAGATAGAGCTGTTACCCGGGCATGTGCCCTGACCGGGAATCGAACCGTGATCTCCTGGATTCTAGGTCGATGCTCAACCGCTGAACCATGCCGGCGGGGCAGCTTATATTCTTTTTAAGTGTTTAAGAAAATAGTGGTTTGGCATTGGTACCAGCGAAGTGTGTAAGAAATTAAGACTTGGACGACCTGAAACCCCAGTTTTTTCCCATGGAAGACAAACATGTATGGTTTAGGTTTGTCACAAGCACAGAATATGAAAGATTATAGTAGTTGGGAATTTATTCAAGATTGGGGGAAAGAAAAGGAGTTCATATCTTTCCAGTGTTTCTTGGCACATCACAATAAATCCACCTTGGGATTTATCTTTTAAGAAGACCTTATGGCATTTGGTAAATAAATATGTTTGAACAGGGTTTAAGGCAGGCCTACCTGATAGCAAATTCTGTCTAAAAACAAAGGAGGTTATATCGGGGCTCCAGACCACTTAGATTTTTAGATAAATCACATCCATATTGTACTTACGTACAGTAAGGACTCTAAAAATAAGCTTTCTATCAGTGCTTTCTCCTGTATTTCATATAAGGAAAGAATTTCTGAATAATTTTACGTAACTCTGTAACCTTTCAGGATTCCTTATTGGTTCAGTAATAAGGAAGAATTTGTCTTTCCTAGATTCAGTGCATATGGAAGAGATCAGCCAATTTTGAATAAATCAGTGAATGTTTGCCAGCTCTGACCAAGACAGTTGTGAGGGCCTAAAGGACTTCAGGGTACATGCAGAATAGCTCTCCAAGGTGCTGTGGAAAGATCAGAATGACCTGCATTCTGGTTTTGCCCCTGCTTCATGCCAGCTGTGTGAACGTGAATCTTGTTAGGAGTGAATCTCTAACAACCTATTAAAATGTATCATACTTTGCTGGTACCAATTCCCAGGGTAAGGAGGGATGGTTATATCATTGTGAAAAGTTGAATGTTAAAACAAATTCTCAATATTAAGTGGCTCTATATTAAATGGATAGATTAGTTCTCAATAAAATTTTGATATTTTCAAATATAGTATTTAATATAGTCAAACTCCAGATCAATTAATAACCATTTAAAAATCTTAGCATTATTTGGATAATAATCTGATTTTTATTGCGTGTGGCAAATTTTAGCAATTAAACCAATACTTTTTTCCTGAGTTAAGTGTACAAATTAAAAACAATTTTAAAAATATTTTTATTGATTTTTAGAGAGAGAGGAAGGGAGAGGGAGAGAGAGAAACATCTATGTGAGAGAAACATCAATTGACTTCCTCTCACATGCAGTTGAGCCTGCAACCTGGGCATGTGTCCTGATGGGGAATGGAACCAGCAACATTTCGGTGCTCAGGATAACACTCAACCAACTGAGCCACACTCGCCAGGGCACAAGTTAAACATTTTTAAGGGCTTCATTTTAATTTTAAAATATGGGAATGTCCTGCCAGTCTACCAGTTCTTAAAGACACTGTTAATTTTAGATAAATCTACATGGCTATTTTGGAACTATATTTTAGGACCAAAATTTTCCCTAAGAAGTTAGTATGAGATCACAGAGAAGTTATGGTCATGGCTCTTTTATTGGTGAAAAAACCGAGATCCTGAAAGGTTGACCAGCCTTCTGGATTGGCCCTGTGGTCAGAGAGAGACAAAATTGTAATGTAGGTTTCCTGACTCCTAGTCCACTGCTCTGTGAAGCAGTGAGCCATTGAGAAGATACCTTAGATAGCAATACTGATGATATTAATAATAGTAATTAAAATCACTATAATAACTTATGTGTAGCTTATGCTAATAGTGTGTCTGCTACTCTGCTAAGCACTTGGCCTGTAATACTGTATACCATTTAATCTTACCACAATGCATCCCCATTTATCAGATGAGAAAACTTTATACAAATGAAGTAACTTCCTCAAATGGCAGAGTTTATGAGAATCAGAGTCTGGATTTGAACCCAGGTCTGACACACGAGCCACTGTGTACAACACCGAATAGTCACTTAGCCAGCAGAGAGGCGCTGCAGCTGGGACCCGGGAGGTCTCCCTCATCTTTATTAGCTTTCAAGGGGGAAAGTGATGTGCCCCACATTTAGAAAGTATTTTTCTGCACCAAACTAGCTCTCTAGAACTGTAATTGAAAATCAGGATCATCTACTATAAATATTTGCATAAAAAAGCATAATTGTGTAGTTGGACAGACAGGTCTTAACTGGACGCTTTTGCCATTAAATCATCAGGAATATTCACATTTTTATTTCCTCAATATGGAATGCATTAAAACAACAGTGATTTTACAGGCATTTATCTTTATGTACTTTCTGCACATTTTCTTTATCTCTGCCTTTGCCTCTCCTTAAAGCTGATGCCTCCCAGGCACTGTAATTCATAAAACGTGTGCTGGGACTTGACTCTGTCCCAGCTTTCTGCCTGCCTGTGTCTTGGGTCCAGCAGCAGAGCACAGTCTGGGAAATGTCTGAGCCCCAGCCCCAGCCCTGGCCCCTAAGGAGTTGGGGGTAGAAATCAAGAGGGGAAATTTCTTGGGAAAAGGAGAGCACAGCCTTGGCCTGCCTTTCTGAAGCCTTATCTGCTGGACTCCATGTATATTCTGACCAAGCATCTTCCTTGACTCGTCAGGCAGCCCTTTTCAAATTGGGCAGTATCTCCATTTGCTGGCTTACACTGCAAAATTCATACCTCATAATGTTGGGAACTAAAGATTTCTTAGCAATGTGACATATATCTCCATTTTGGAGTCACGGAGGAGTGTTTGCAATTAAGTTTGTGATTTTGAAAACCCCAAAATTGAACTTGAAATAAATTTGTGGTCTCTGGTCTGTAATGTGACCTACCAGAGTGAAAAGACCTCTTTTTCAAAGCAGCCAGTATTCTAAAATATCCCAGAACTGCAGTCGTGTGCAACAAGAGGCATGGGGTTAGGAATAACTCAGCGCCTGTGACACTGGCCTGCTTCTCTCTCCGAGGGCAAACCGTGTTTGCTTTCTAGTCCCTTAATCTTCTCATTTTTTATTTTCTCCATAATGTATACATTCCAAATAGCACATGCCCTGCACTTACATGGATGCATTCACCTCTTAAATTCCATGTGAATGATGTTTTTCATCAGCCATTAGAGATTCTGCTTTTCAAAGTGTATGCTGCTCCAGTGTGGTCCCCGCATGCAGTCCTGCCTTAAACCCGGGCACTTGATCCTGGCGGGGCGGGGAGCCTCTGCCTGGGACTGCAGGCCGCTCTGGGGGAGTGTGACCAAGGCGGGTGGGGGGGCCTTGAGCAAGCTCCTGAGAATTGGTCCAAACCAAGCTGAGGTCCTTATGCAATCATCAGTGCTGGAGATGACGTAGGCTACACAATCAAGTAGCTGATTGAACATTAGAGAGTGAAATATGCCGTCTTTCTGTATCAGTGCCCGTCCAGGTCTCTGAGTTTTGCTTAGAGCTTTAGATGAATCCTTTGGTGCCTCGGGAAAGAGTGAGGTGAATAGTCTGTCAAACAGGGATGCAGCCAGGTGACTTCTGGCATGTAACCCATGGGAAGGTATCAGGCAGGTGACCTTCCATGTAAGTATCTTAAATATGTTAGGAGGTTTGTAGGCATTTGTCTGAAGGACAGGAAATGCCCCACTCAAGCCCTCAATCCCATCCCTCCCCACGGTGGGGAGGAGGGCGGCTCCTTCGGGCTGCTTCTGCGGCATAACATCCGAGCAAAACACGAGGCAGTGCTGCATTACCTGGGTGGCCACTAATGCCACCAGACGTGGACATCGAGGAATCAGTTTAGATACCTGCAAGTGCCTTACCTAAGGTTGAGAAGCAGGCTATTATTTTTTCTTCTGAATTTGTTTACTAACATGATGACATCATTTCTTTGATGCCTCTCAGAACAATTTTTACAAAGTGTAAACTTAGGCTTTATTTTTTTTTAAACTGTGATAGTGTGTTCTAGAAGTCTCATGGTACGTGGAAGAAACTTGATACCAGTTCTATTTGTTTTGATATGAAGTCATCTTGCTAAGTAATTTCCATTTATGTTTGTTAATATATTTGAAGGAATGTCTTTAAAATAAGTGGCAGGTGGTTTTACACCATCCCTAGCAACCTTCGTGGAAGGTTGTGGATGTCATGGATCCTTTGATGAAAACTAGGAGCCCTCAGAAAAAAAACGAAATCTTAAATGTTTGCTTGCTGTTTCAGTTTAGCATTCCCTAAAGCGTGGCCATGAATCTCAGCTCGATGCACCTCCGATCCAGAAGGACTTGACGCAGCAGCTGGGGCCAGCGTCCCCAGCGTCCCCAGTGACCATGGCCCTACCCAACTCTTATTTTTGATCCGTTGTGTGTTCATAATTACAAAACGCTCTGCAGGGGGATTTCAGTTACAGGCCTTACTGGATCAATGCTTTCACCATGTGCTTAATCTTGAATTTTTTCTTTGTTTTTTCCCACGATCAGTGCTGTTTTCATTAGAAAGTTCTTGTTTAGGCTTTCTTCTGAGGATTTGTTTTGTCTTTCCTTCCCATGTGAAATGCTTAAAGCCACTTCTTAATAGTATAGAATGGTGGGGTCCCACTGAGTGGATAGCTGGTAAAGCATTTGTTTATCCACTTTGTTTTTTGCCAATGGTATGTTATAGGT